GTGACGAAGGCAAACGAAAAGAAGAGTTAGAGGAGGAATTAGACGAAGAAAGGAAAGTGAAAGGGAAGACGTTCTCGTCGAAAACAACATAATGAGAAATGATGACCTTATTAGTAGTAAGATCAAGACAACGATAGCCTTTGTGGTGGGAAGGATAACCCAGAAAAACACACAAAGTATAACGGGGGGCTAACTTATGATGGGTGGTGTGAGAAAGATTAGGGTAGCATGCACACCTAAAAGTGCGCAAGTGATCATATGATGGACGTTTGTGGTGAAGAACCTCATAGGGAGTTTTATTCTGTAAGAGGGAAGTGGGATTGAGAAGATAGGTGACAGTATGAAGAGCTTCAACCCAGAAAAGAGGAGGCATAGAAGCCTGAAATAAAAGAGTTCGAACCATATTGACAATTGTACGATTAAGACGTTCAACTTTACCATTTTGCTGAGAACAAGCAGTTGTAGACAAGCGGAGGTGAATGCCATTAGTTTAAAAGAACTGCAAAAAGGAATTATTTTCATATTCACCTCCTTGATCACATTGAAAATTACGAATGACGACATTATATTGAGTTTGGACATGAGCATAAAGGTTACGAAAACAAGAGAAAACATCAGATTTGGAGTGAAGAGGAAACACCCAAGAATAATGTGTATAATCATCCAAGAAAGTAACAAAATATTTACATCCAGTAGGAGAAACAACTGGAGAAAACCACACATCAGAATGAAGAAGCTCAAAAGGCGCAGTAGCCCGATGTGCAGCTAAGGTAGGAACCGAAGAGGAGGTAGGGCAATCAACAAAAGGATAGAGAGGTCCAGAACTATTGCACCGAAGAAGTTGCGTCTTCGTTGTGAGATCCTTAACAGAAAAACCAAAGGGGTCAAATTCTACAGAACAATGATTATCAGTAGTGAAACGGCGAACAGAAATTAAATTCGCAGTAAGAGATGGAAAATAAAGAACATTATTAAGAGCTAAAGAACGACTAGAAGTGGATATATTGGAAGTACCAAGGGATTCAATAGGAAGCAAAGCACCATTGCTAACACACACTTTATCAGGACCATAATACGGTGATAAATTGGTAAGCTTACCAGAGTCATTCATCATAGTTGCGCCTGCAGTGGAGTCAAATTGCCATGGAGTAGCAGATTGAGAGGAAGCTGGATATGCAGTAAACGCCGGAGTAGAGTGGCTTGCGTTCATAACAATAGAAGGGCATAACCGGGCAACATGGCCATAACCTCGGCAGTTGTAGCATTGGACAGAATGCTGGAATTGAGGAAGTGCAGGCGCGAGACTTCCATAAGGTGGAGGTGCACCAAGGATCGAAGAAGACTGAAAAGGAGCTGCAACATAGGCAGCATGAGAAGAAATAGACGCAACATTCAGCGAAGAAACCGGCTGAGCAACAAGGACTTAAGAAGAAGCCGAACCCAACGTGGCTCTCTGATGTTGTTTCGCCAATTTGGCTTCTTCAAGCAGAAGCCGCGAACGATACTCATCAAAAGTCGGAAGTGGCTTTTGAGTGGAAATCTGAGAAGTGGCTGCATTATACTTAGGACCCAATCCCATAACAACTTGCATGACAACATCACGATAGGTTATTGAATCATCGATAGAGACCAAACAATCATACAATTCTTTCAGACGATCTAAGAAAGCAGACATAGAGAGATCACGCTTTTTACAATGATAAAATTCCTGACGAAGATGAACAATTCTAGACTCAACATGATCACGAAAAATCTTTTTTATCTTGTCCCAAGCAGATTGAGCAGTAAGAGAAGTATCCGGAGTGATAATATTGCACAAAATCTCACGAGAGAGAGTGGCTTGAATCCAAGAAAGCATGAGAGAATCAATCTGAACCCATTGATCATAGTCAGGATCACCAAGAAGAGGACAAGGATTGGTACCATCAACAAAGCAAAAAACTTGATGCCCTTTAAGAACTGGAATGAAAAGTTCTCGCCAAATCAAGTAATTGGAAAAATCAAGAACCTCGTAGACATGATTCTTGATGTTATTGAGGGAGAAAGCTGGATGAAGACTCACTGGAGAGGATGCACCATAAGGAGCATCAGTAGCAACACGAGATGAAGTAGGAGTCTTCGGATCATGAGGGGCAGCATCACCTTCGCCTTGGGCCATGAGAAGAAAACCGAGGCAGCAACAAAAGGAAACAGCAGCAGTGAAGAAAGTTGAAGAAAGGAAATCGGAAATCAACAACAACAACCAAAAACAACGGGGCGGAGGTTGGCGTGAAACAGCAACCGTGAAGAAGAGCAGCGAAGAAGAAGAGCATAACCACCGGCAGTGAATAGCAACGAGCAGCAAACAAAGAAACAACAAACACCAGCAACGAAGAAGGGCAGAACCACCAGCAAGAAGAAGAAGGGCAGAATCGCCAGCAATGAACAGCAAACAAAGAAGCACCGGCAGTGATCAACACCGACAGAAACAAGAACCAGGAAAACCGAACAACGACGGTAGCGGAGAAGAGGCCAAACAGCGATGGGCAACAATTGCTCATAGGCAAAAGAAGAGCACACACACAGCAGGAAGAGAGTGGCAGCTGTCAAAGGAAACTGAAGCTTCGGCGGCAAGCAGAATTGAAATCAAGATCTGCAGCAAGGAACCAGCACTCACCGATCAGTACGAGGAGAAGAAATCAACGGGAAGAGAAGAGTGGCAGGTTCACACGGCAAGAAAGAAAAAAAAAAAGCTTAGAAAAACCCTAATAATACTGACAGCCCCGAAAAGAGGCTCGATACCATGAAGATGTGTGAAAACCCGTAGGTCATTCTGTATTGATTTAACATATATATAATGTACACGATTACAGTAGAATTACAACAATACCCTTACACTAACCCTAATATATACATACACTAACAATGATACGGTGAACTGTTAGCGTACAAAAAAAGACAAACAAACGACGGGACGCATATCCTACTATATTAGAAACAAAAACCTCCCTTTCAAACACCTCATATGATTGCCACGTGGCATGTAGAAAGTACTAAATTGCCCTTTTATCTAACCATAACAAAATTACTAAATCTCCCTTTGTACTTTATGTGACATGTTTTTTTTTTTTTTAATTTTTTCTTTATGTTTCATTCAACTAGAGTAGTTTTTTAAATTGAATTGATCAATTAGGTTTTTTGTTACAAAGTGTCAATTTTGTTTTAAGCGTATACCTTTCGGATGAAACTTATTACAAAGCTATTAAAAATCTCCAAAACTAAGTATTGATTTGGCACAACCAATGGAGACCATCAATAAATCATCTTACTAATATTTAAATTTATTAGGATGCTTTTATATTTTATCTAACATTTACTTCAACACATATATTCGATTAAGGCTATTTATATTTAATAAGTAACGCTTATAAAACATTTCTAAAACATACATGGCGAAATACAATTTTTTTTTTTTTTGCGAAATACAAATATTTCTATGATCACACTTATAAAATATTTCTAAATCCTTCAATATTTCTAAAATATATCGCTCTAAATACAAAATTTTATTTTTTTCCAAATATAAACATTTCTAAGATCTATAGATAGACTGGGCCAGGGTCGCGCATTGCGCGACCAGACATCACTAGTAGAGTTTAGAAATGATCAACTACATATCCATTTCTTTAAAGAAAAAAATTGATGGCGAAATAAAGCGTCTTTCTACACACTCTTTTTGACTTTATTTATTAGACACAAAATGTAAATTTAAATAAGATCGCAAGATGAGTATTCAAATTGAGAGTTTCATGCATAATTTATAGTCTAAAATATTTGGACAGAAAACGAGATGGGGCCTAAACAATGATGTAAGAACGAAGTTCTAATCTTAATCAATGTGGTGGCTAACGTTAATTAGCACGTCATCAATCATCCCTAAGCTAGATTATTATCAATAAAGTACATATATATAAGTCTGAAAGTATTATGTAGAACAACATCAAGTTGAAGCTAGTGGAAACAAAATATATGAAGCGGGTTTGTCCCACTACTTGTAAAAGATACATTTCCTCTTGCAAAAAGGGATCATAATCATATACTCCATCATATAGAATGTAGAGCAGTCTAATCACATTACAAAACTTTTAAAATTGACCCCCTCAAGCATGACTTGTCTTTCTTACTCTTCTTCTTCTTCTTGGGAAGAAAAGAAAGTAGACCGCTAGAGGGTATATATAAATGAATGGACATCAAAGAAAATTATTTATATATATATATATATATATATATATATATCATGCGATGAACAGATTGATTGTATCACTCTCAAAAGTAAATGAATACAAAAAATAAATAAATAAAAAAACGAGAGTTTGATTTTAAGCCCTAAAGAACCTGCCACTCCCTAGTGAAAATCGGTATTTGCTAGCCTTGTTTGCCACTTCTTTTCTGGACCTTAAGACATGATCATTTCCAATTTGTACATCAGGTTTTAGCACCACTACTCAAGAGAGCAAAAGAGAGGAAAGCACTTCTAGGACCAAGCCTTGTGTTTCTCTCCAGCGTAAAGCATTAGTTCGGCCGACCAGCTCAAATAAAGTACTCCCTCCGTCCCATAATTATTGTCTAGTTTAGATTTTCATTTCTAGTGTAAATTGTACTAAAAGTAAAATCTCAAATTGGACAATAATTTTGGGATAGAAGGAGTAGTATAAATGATTGACAAAAGTCAAGTTGGAAGATAAATACAGAAAAGAACAAGAATATGCTCAAAATCCAAAGCTATGATTTTAGAAGCTCAGGGATTTATTTGATCAGGAATTATTTCCGCCGCCACCCCCCCACCCAAATCCTTCTACAAATATAATTCATCACTATTTAGTGAGCAAATATCTCAATAGTCCGTGTTAAGACCTGTTGAGCATACTTATTGGATACCTGGAAACAGTATCAGATGGCAGGCTAACTCTGATGTCGGCCACCGGTTGAGAATTAGTGTCGCAAGGATCAACAACAAATTAGGCCTTCAAATCATTCCCCATCGGTGAAATCGTACATGTTATTAATCTTCGTTTGATTATTATTTTGTGTTCTGGCCCTTTTTCCACGGTTTTGGATTGCTGCTCAAACAATAATTGTAGATTTGTAGCGACTTTTTCTTCATTTTTTTTTCTCTAAAAAATTTCTCTAACATCTAGATCCTGTTTTGTTTTTTAAAAAAATAATATCAGACTAATAAAATTTTTAATCAGAATTTGTTCTTCTCCTCCCTATTATTCAATTGAGTCCCTTTGTCCCCAAACAGAAGAGTGGGAAAAACTATAAAAAAGAAATGCTGAAAACATAGACATTCAGATACTCCTATGTAAATCTATAAGAGAACTTCTTAATTTACATACAACTAGAAGGAAAACAACAACTAACTGGTCAACAAATTGAGTACATTTTCAATCTCATCATGTCGCTGTCTTGGTTCATCAGTCCACAAAGTTAAAACATTAATCATGCCAAACTCCAACTTCACAATCTACCTAGCTCCACCTTGTTTATAACAGCCAACCAAACACTCCCAATTGATCATTGTCGGAACTGCAGTAATGATGACATCAAAAACAAACATGAATACCTTTTTCCAATACCTTTTTCGCAAAACACACATGATGCAGTTCACGGTATGCAAGTTTCAGTAACTAGACTCATGATCTGGACTAATCTGCATGCATATCCATGGTGGAATCATTTGAATTTCCAGGATTCGGATCCCTACTGTGTGGATGAATGAAACCAGATTCATTGCCTCTATTTCCATTTGCGGCTGGTTGACCACTACTTTGGAAGTAGCCCCCAGGAGAAACATGATAATTCTGAAGACTACGGCGGACGGGGCTTGAAAGAGCATTTGAGAACACATAATTTTTCGGTTGTGAATCACAAGGCTCGGGTCGAAATGACTGAGCAGCAGGAAGCACTCCAGATGAACCAGAAGAAACCAGGACAGCAGAGTTTCCAAACTGTGCAGACTGCAAATGTTGTTGTGCAGGTGCTCTTGGTGAAACGGGAGGTTCTTCCCCAGAATAATCCAGTTCATTCTGCATACATATTTGATGCAATTTAAAACTATATTGAATGGTGAAGACAGAGAGTTACAGAAAGTCAAAAACAAAACTGAACAGAAATGATGGTGTAGACAGAGCGATCACCAAAAGAAAACCTTTTAAGAAGCTGAGATGGAGACACTGATAATAGACCCCAATTAACTACACGAACATATCTCATAATCCTTTCAATGCAACAGCAAATCTCTTCCATGCCTAAAGCCATTTCTTGTCTATATTGTGAGTAAAATAAGCTATATCTAGGCACCTTTGACAGCTAAAATATAAAGTAGCTACCAATGCCAAGAACATATTCTCGCATCTTGACAATGTACTAGTGCTTACTTATCAGACAACAACTATATGTTTCTCATCCTGAACATACATGATGGCTGCTTGAAGATGAACACAATCCTACAATGTCAATACTAGTGACTCTTAACCTAAAAAGATACTAGTGACTAAAATGGACGAAAACCAGACTCATTGACATTGCAACGACGATGTTGCTAGAGGAACTAATCAATATCACCATAAGTTCATCAGGGTTGTAGGTGTTGGAAAGTGGTATTTTAGAGGGATTGGGGATTTGCAACCGAGAACTATAAATGTGGAAGAATAGATGTACATTAACCCAGAAACCAATTAAACAAATCAGACTCCATCTACATTTAAAGACCAAAATAATAGACCATTCGGTGTTGTGACCTTCAAGACAAACAGATGCAATTCAGAAGCCTTTCATCAATCCTCGGAGTACCTTCAGCTTAAAATTTATGCAGACCAATTGTAGGACAAGAACGAGATACAACATGCAATAAAAGCCACCAAGGTTGAAATTCTAATTTACCTGGAGATAGTTAATCACATCAATTGTTGCCACTCTTGATCCACCCTCTTGCTGTCTCAAGATCCAGTGATAAAGTTTTTCCTGTTAAGAATGAGAGTAAAGTGATGTCCAACAGAAAAAAGAGTAAGGAATCAGGACACAAAGTTTCAGTTTCTAATATCAAACTAGCTATCCAAATAACGGAAAGAACAGGGAAAACATATATGACATCCAAGGAAGAACAAGAAAAGCAAATATTCCAAAGAGCCAACTTAGAGGCAAGACACACAACAGCACAGCTAAAAATGGCGGTTAAAGCATTGGCAACTTTGAAGGTGAGCAAGCTTCACCTTCAATCACAAGGAAAATGTTGATAGAAGAAATTTACATGAAATTCATCTAGTCTGAAGTTCTCAAGGGTAAACAGAACTTAATCATACAGTTGTCAACACGTTTATCTGACACTTTTTACAAATTTCTTTCCATGTGAAGTTTCTAAAGTCAGATTAGTACGCCAATAGTTTCATGTCTGCCATCTTTCGGACGAGAAATGGAGCTCCAAAAGTTTACTATACCAATGACCAATCAGATGTTTGTCAAGTCCTTTTCCTTTCCTACATCATCCACAACCATTGTCCTTAAGGTGACAAACTCTCCCTCTCAAATAAAAATTATTTTTAAGATCACAAGGCTCTTATCTTCACAAGCAACCACGTAATCTTGGTCAATGAAACGGAATCATCCAACAAGAGGTATCATATAATGCAAGTTACTTGGAGATACAAGAATTCTAACAGCAGAAGTTACAGCAAAACCTCAAAAAGGCACATGATGTAGAACTCTATCTTTCATTAATCCAGGAAACGAAAGATCATTCTACACCTAACAACACATGCTCGCAACTCAAAAGACCTCCTTGAGAGTCCGAAGTCCCACCTTTATAAGCATTAGACCATTTATCCCAACCATGGATCATAAGATATGATTCAACATATTGGCAAGCTCAAGTCTTTCACATTCGAACATCACTAAATCATTCATCAATGTAAGTATATTATAAAGCCCCAAGTAAACAAACCTCAAAAAGCCTAATTGCCGCTTGAAGAACACTCAGTAAAGAGATACAGGTACAACTATTTCCCACCACTGCCTTTTCCTCTTACTCTTTATTGTTTTATCCGAAAATCAAATTTAAACCTCACAAGAACATGCACTCAAAGTAATCTACCCAGAACCAAACCCTAAACCACAAAATCCACAATTAACACATAAACCCGCCCAAGGAAATCAATCAAAACCAAGAATCACAGCTTTAGAACACAAGCAAACAAAAAGAAAAAACATCACCTGCAATAAAATCAATCACATAAAAGGGACACATTTTAAAACCCAATACATGCATGTAATACATACACTCATATCTGCAACCTGTGTGCAGAATGATCAAAGATAAATTTAAAACACAAATTGACACAAGAAATAGAATTACAAAAAAAGGGGGAAAAAAAACGTTTCACATTTAAGGGTAAAAAGGGCTTGAATTAATTCGGTTGGGGAAGTGGCGGAACATACCAAGCCATGGCGTTCACCGGCCTGAAAGGAAAGCTTTTGTTGGTTCATGGCCTGAGTGTAAAGCTGAGTAAGGGAATTGGCGGTGCTGCTGAATGTGGAGTACATGGTCCGATCCACCTCGTCCAGGCTCGACGCCACCGACTTCCTCTTCTTCGCCATCGGTTTGTTCGACGGGGATTCTTTGCCTCAGGGGAGGTGAATTTCTCGGCGATCGTTCACGGTGGCGGGGATTAGAGTTCCGGCGATTCTCGCGGCGGGGGAGGCTGGAGGTTGGAGGTAAGTTTGGAGTTTTAAGGATTTTTTGGTGTGTGATATATACGAATGGATTTGAGAAAGTAGGAGAAAGAGTAACGTGCTTCTTTTTTTGTTTGGACTGGTAAAAAAACAAGAAATAGTATTTCTTTTTATGATAAAAATAATAGTAATAGGAAATACCATATAATAACTACACAAAGTTATTATAGAAATTAAAACATGTTAAGTACCGACCTAAATGCTTTACTAAGCTGTTTAGCGAGTAGGTTTTTTTCTGTATTTTAATTTGGTTAGATTATAGCATTTTTATAGCATTTAAACAATATTATTTAAATTCGATTGAAATATTTGTAATTACTTTCTCTCAAAATTATTGTTCAATTTTGCAGGAATTCTTTTTTTTTAGTCAAACTCAAGTCAAGTTTTGGCATAAACTTCTAGATATACTCTTACTATATAATTTGGTTTTACCAGCCAATGATTTCAGGAAAGAGTTAACTTCTTTTCACTTTAAAAATGCAAGAACAACACCTTCATTTGTTTTTCACTTCAAACACCTATTATCAAACCAAATGTTTAGACGAAGAACTCTGAATTTAGAGAACTTTCTTACTCTAAGTTTCAATTTGATGTTTATTGAGACAATTCTTTTTTTTTCTACCGAATAGTTTCTCGTCAACATAAATCAAATATCTTTCAACTGTGAGGTCATTGTTTGTGCTAATCGAACTAAATTTTCATATGAAGTTATTAGAATTTAGATCAAGTTATTACTTTCATATTTAATTTGATGTTTTCTAGTTGATTATTTTATTTCAAAATATCCGTTGAATCAATCGATCGCAATTTTGATACTGACTTTGTCGAAATTTCTTTTGATAGAGTAATGCTATAATACCAATCAAATCATAGTTTAAATATTGTAATATTCAAATGATCGACAAAGATTTCTTCTCCATATTCCTCTTCAACAACTATCCAGCCACCTCACCTTCATTGTCTCTTGGAGTTGTTAGAGTATAGCCTTCGTTTTTGTTGTTAATATGTGTTGTCTGTTTTGGCAGTGGTGCGGTGTGAGTAGCAAATACTAGATAAACAGTTCCTAATTAAATTATAATTTTTTTTTGAAATAGCATATTTATAACGAAACGGGAATCATCCAGCACTGAATGATAACCAGTTAGAAGGCGACGACAAGAGCGTGTCTATCACTTTATAAGATTTAGCATAAAAAGTAATTTCATAAGCTAATGTATTCTCTAACCGACTAATCTAAAATAGATTAAGATTAGACAACTTTTGTAAAAGATGCTTAATATTTTGAATTATTAGAGTGGCTGAATATGGATGTTCAACTTCATCACGGCCGATTAGAATTGCATTGATGGACTCTCCCATAATATGAAAATCATTGAGGTTCAAACTTTGTGCAACACGTAATGATTCCTGGAACGCCATGAGTTCTTCCCATTCCGGGTAAGAGACATTGCTTGCATGGGAGGCAAACGCATACTGAAAGTTGCCATCTGAATTTGCAATGTAACACCAAAGCCAGCAACCTTATTCCAATGAGAGAGTCCAACATCGAAGTATATTGTTACTTTCTATACTGCTGGTCGGAAGATTGAATCCACATCGAAATGGGACATCTCAATATTCTCTGACCTCGAATGTTTCCAAGCTTTCAACATGGTAGTAGCTGACAGAATCACCCCAGGGCGAACAAGCTTTTTTTGCAAACACTTGATCATTCCTAGACTGGCACAACACATTGCAACCAAATCCAAAATATTGAACTTTTCTTTGTCAAGGGCCTGAAACAGATCACAGAACTATTGTTGGAAACTGTGATGCTGGAAGAGCATGATTATTTGTTGAAGACCTAAAAATGTCCAAACTTGATGTGCAAAGGAGCAAAGAAAAACATATGAATGGAGCTGTAATCTGTATTACCACAAGGTATATGTGTAACTTAACCTATAAAGAGTCAAATCAAATAATAATTTTGAAATATTTTTTTCTTGACAAAATGGACAATAATTTCACAAGAAGAGAAAATATAGGTTAGAGTTCACTAATCTAAACATGTACTTAAATTTTAGGCATATGAAAACAAATCTAAAAGAATAATGTATTACCATAAATGGATAAAAGGGACAAGAAGTTGAAAAAAATTAAAAAAAAAAGTGTCAAAAAGGAAAAGAAATATTTTTTTAAATAATCATATAAAAACTACAAATGAAAATATTATTATAATAAAAATAGATAAACTAAAAAATATATGTACCTTAGAAAAATAAAGCTAGAAGTCAATGGAAATTTTGACCAGAAGTCAAAGTGCAATGTGTTAAAATTTGACCAAACGTAAATTTTGTAAAATTACTAAAAGTTTTTGTGTAATTTCTTTTTTGAAAGTTTTGGGTGCAAAACGTAGCATTTTGGGGTATACTTTTGTCAATGTATCGTTTTGCCCTTGAAAAGATAATGAAAACAACAAATTCAAATATGAAGGACATATGAACAAAAGGATTTTTTGGGTACTAAATGTGGCAACCGTACTCACAGGGTATCAAATATGGCTCAAAGTATGTGTCATTGAATTCAAGAAGTAAACTTTTATTTGGAATGAAAATCAGATTACTCTTTAGATTAGATTAAAAAAAAAAACAATATCCACAGCTAAATAGGAAGATAAACAAACTGGAGACCCCTACGCCCTATGCATCCAAGACGAAAGAACCCTTCATTCTACCTGTCTATAGTTGTCAATTCTGATTACACAATATTGAGTTAAATTTTATCGTTGTAAATGAAAAAAATATGTATAAATCAATCCAACTACAGACAGTAAAACACCTTTAAATTAATATTGTTTGGGCACCAAAACATTATTAATTTATAATTAATTTATCCATAAATTAATAATTATTCATTTTTTTGATAAATTAACATTTAGTTAATATAAAATCTTTGAGAGATTTTGTAGCTATGTCACTGAAAATTTTGCTGAATATGAAAATGATAATGATTTTGTGTACCTGAAACTAATCACATGAAAGGAAGTACTTAATATGACAAAAAAAATATTGAAATTTTTTGTTACACTACGAGAAAACTACACCAAAGTTTTTGAATGCGATGAGAAAAGTCAAAGATAAAATCTTTAAATGTAAATTTCAAGAAAAAGCAGACATTACTATATTCATATTTTACTAGTTCTTAATTTTTTTTAATTTCAGGTCATTATGAATTTGTGATATTTACGGGAGCTATTTTACGTGAGAGTTTTTTGAAAAATTAATATCTTATTAATTTATACATAACATTTAACATAATTGAGAATAGTTAGTGTATCCAAAGTTCATATTTTGACAATCGTATATCTCTATATATATTAAAGGAGAGTAGTTTGCAGGAATGAATTGAGGATAGTTAGAGCATCAATAGCTTTTAAGGACACATATCACCTCCAGGTTTGAGTTTCATTAAACGATGAAAGTAATTTAGTAAATATCATAATCCGAATTTTACTATTTTAATGGTTTACTTATTTATTTCCGAAAAAATAAATAATATGATCATTATCTTCTTTAATACGTTTTAAAATTTAAAATATTTAAATTTAGAAAATATATATCAGAATCAAATCTTCTCTAATATGATTCATTTAATCTTCTCTAATACGTTTCTCTTTCTCTATAAATAAGATGAATGTACTAAGCTCCAAATCGTAAATCTAGGGTTTGCGGACGATCTCATAATACTATGTACAGCTGAAGAAAACTCAGTAAAGAAAGTGCAGGAAGTACTAAGACACTTTGGTGACACAACAGGGCTTCGTGTGAATAAGGCTTAATCAAATTTATACTGTGCAGGGGTCAGTGAAGAAACAGGGAAACAACTATAAGAAATAATGGAGTTCGAGATGGGGCAATTTCCAATGAGGTATTTAGGGCACTCTATTTCTCTTTCAAAATGGAATAATTCTGATTGTCAGCAACTAGCTAAAAGAGTAACAAAGAGAGTAAGAAGTTGGAGTTCTAGATACCTGTCATATGCAGGTCGTCTTCAGTTGGTAAATTCGATTTTAATGAATATGCATGTGTATTAGGAAAATACATTCATGTTGCCAAAGAGTGTCATCACCCAGATCACCAGGGTTTGCAGGGAATTCTTATGGGGCAAAAATAAAACTGGTCACAATTTGGCATTGGTTGCATGGAATCAGCTATGCATGCCAAGGAAAGAAGGTAGATTGGGTATAAAAGAACCTGGCATTTGGAATCAAGTAGCAATAGCTAAGCAGATTTGGGATCTGGCTAAGAACAAGAATGTCCTTTGCATCAAGTGGATTAATGAGTATTATCTGAAAAATCAAAGTATATGGGAATATAAAGTACCAAGAGATTGTAGCTGGCACTAGAAAGTTTTAATGAAAATCAGAACACTGATAAAAGTTGAACTGGATGCAGGAACATGGAAAGCTAATCCAACAGGGTACCAAATTAAGAATGGTTATGAAGTCTGGAGACAGAAGGGTCACAGAATGGCAAATGCAGAAATAATCTGGAGCAAAACTTGCTTACCTGAGTACAGTTTTGTTGGTTGGTTAGCACATCAAAATAGATTACTGACAGTGTAAAGGATGAAAAGAATGAATATTCATGTTGAAAACAAAGCTTGTTGTCTCTTTGATGAAGGTTTAGAAGAAACAATTGAACATTTGTTCTTTGGATTTTCATACACAGAACATATATTGAAGGCTCTGCTGGAATGGCTGGAGATAAAATTGAGATACATAACCATAAAGCAGATCATGGTAAAAATCAGAAATGGTTTCAAGTACAAGAAGTTAAAAAAAAAAGGGCTAGTTAGTGGAGCAGTTATGGCATGTATTCACCATGTGTGGATGGAAAGAAACAACAGAAAGTTTGCGCAGACTAAAAAATAGGTGAAGGAAAGAGTTGACAGTATTAAGCAAAAGTTAAAGTGAAAGATGCAGCAAAAATGCAGAAAGGCTACTTTGGATGAAACAGAATACTTGAATAGAATAGGATTCTCAATTTATATAGATGACAGACAGATCACTGTATAGTATAGTGGAGCAGACT